TGTAATGCCACTTGATTGTTGATGTGTGCTGCTGACCATCCGTGATGCTGATCTGCTGCTGATTTATTTCATGTTGCTGTGTTCATTCGTCCTCATCTGCTCACACAGACTCATGTTCATGCTGCTGGTGTTTGGCGCATTGTTTTGTACTGTTAGTGCTTGTATTATTAGTTTAGTGTATTTCTTAGTTCGTATCTTAGATCTTATTATTGTTTTTCTTTACAATTTCTATTTTTGTTGGATGCAACTGGGACCCTGTTTCGTTTCACCTCATGTACCACATGTGATGTGAATGACAATAAAGACACCTTGATCTTGACCTTGATATTTTTAGTTGTGTCACGTCAACCCTACTGACCAGAAAACCCCCTCTAACAAACATGAAGTGGCCCATGGGCCAGTTGATCATTTTTTCATTCACTGAACCTTTATTAGGTTATATCTCACTGAGTCACAAAAACTCATTTTCAAGAGATCTGTTTTAGACAAAAAACAGATAAAGGTATAGAGAGCAATAAACAATAATGACAGTTGTTACAAGTTTTCAGGATATGGACACTTTATTTAGTGAGCAAAGGGGCAAAAATTGCTCATAAAGGTTGCTGACCCATGGTAAAGTAATTCTAGTTTTCGAGATGATTGGCCATCATTCAGCCACTCCAATCATTTGAGGAAACTACTATAAAAACTAGTAGTTTCCTCAAATGTTTGGGTTGGTGGGTTTACATATGGTGTGGTGGCCATCTTGAATTTTGACCTGTCAAGTCAACCCATTTTTCGTAAGGAAGGAACCTTTCTAACGCCTAGACACTGAAATGGAGGTGAGTGCCTCACTTATTTTTCAAGTTATCGCGTTTACAACATTCCCGGATGGACGGAAGGTATTTCTAAGTCCCATTTTTTGCTCCGCAATGGGGGAAAAAAACAAAACATAATTTAAGAGTTACCTGGTTATCAAATCCTTATACTTTTCTCCATCATTTTTTTTCTTATTTTTTTTAACAATTATTTAGAGTAAGGCTTAGAAATGCTTTAAAAGATCCAATATAGGTAAACATCATGGGCGGTTTTATTTTATTCTATAAAACAAAAACTTGCAACTGAAAGTTCAGCTCACAAAGTACTAGGTTATAGGTTGTCATGGCAACCAACCTTTTTTTTTTTTTTTAGGTTGAATCCTTACTGTCAAATGGATATAAGTTTAAACAACAGTTAACCATTACTTAAGTGAAGTTGCCATACTAAACATAGAGCTCAGAAAACTTTAAATACTGTCTGCTGACCCAGTGGCACCCGGCGCTCAGCAACTGGACGAGGACCATCCTCAGCAGTTAAACTGGACCAGAACTGGTTCAAACACTGGAGTAAACGAAACAAAATCCAGTTGGCCTCAACCAACAAAGTTCCTCACCTTGGAAAGCCGGCTCAAAGCATAGAGGAGGCAAGTAACCCTAGCTGACATCTTGGCTCCGTCTAAGCTCTGCATCAACTGACAATACTGTATTTTTTTCATGTCGGTGTAATAAAATGTCTCTCTACAGTTTACCAAGATAATATGACACAAACAGGTGCAAGCGGAACATCCATGAACCTAAACGTGGGTCAAAGCTCTGCCGGACCTGGAAATGACAGTCCAATGAGTTTTACCATCCCGCCAACAGAGGAAGGTAATTGATCTGTTAGCATCTGTTAGCTTGACGAGGAAGGAGCATTTTCACGTAAATTGATAGCACAGACAATGTATGTTTTGGAAAAATAAAATATTTAAATTGCACTGGATTATATTTATACTGGTCAATTAGCCATAACTCATTCATTCAACCTTTATTTAGATAGGTTAATCCCATTGAGCCTCGGGGACTCATTTACAAGAGAGACCTGACTTCTTTAACAAAGATTGACGACAACAGTGGATAACAATGACAACAATAGACAGTCACAAAAGAGGCTTACAATTTTTTTTTATTTAAACAAGACAAGGAGGCAATAAATAAGTAGACCAGCTTAATAAATCTTTGTTGCTCAATTGGGATGCACGATATTATTGGTATTGTATCGTATCGGCCAATATTAGCGATAAAGTTAAATATCGGACATTGGCCGTTCCATCAAAATAACTCACCGATATAATAAGTACAAATTTGCACTGTTTGAGTGTTGTCATTGTGTTAGAGAGAGTAAATGTCATGAATAAATTTGACATTAAACATAATCCAAGTTGAAGTGTTACATCATTTTCAGCCCCCTTTTTGGCATCTGCATTTGCTAACAGGCCAAACTGACAAAGACCATGCAGAATAATGTAGTTTTTTATTCCACAGCAGAGAAAGCTATGTAGTCTCTGTAAGTAGGTCTAGGGGAAAAAATATTGGTATTTGTATCGGTTATCGGCCAAATTTGTTTTAATATATTGGCATATCGGCCAAAAATCCAATATTATTCATCCCTATAGCTAAGTTTATGTTCAGGCCTACATATTTTGCTTGTTTATCCCACTTTTCCTAATCCTACAAATTTGTTTGTATAAAAACGTTTTAAAATTATTGTATTCTGTAATTCATAATTTTAATGAATGAAAATGTGTTTACAGAAATCTGTAATAAACATTAGGTAATAAATATTAGCTATTAGCATTATCTTCTGTATGCTTCAAATCATGAAAAAATAAAATGAAATTCAACCGTGAACAGCATGATACAAATTACAGTGAAGCATTAAACAAATTTATTTGATTCAGGAATCATATACTTTTAGATGATTATCCTGAACATTTATTTTGTTTTCTTTCAATTAATCATAATTAAACAAACACAAAATGTCTTTCTCAGATTTGAAGCAAATGCAATCTCTTCTAAATTATAACGAACACGTCAAGAGGCCACTGAATGCCTTCATGGTGTGGTCTCGCATCCATCGAAATGCACTACAGAAAGCTTGTCGTGAATGAAATTTTAACCTTACTCCTGTTCAGCTGGGCTGTGAGTGGTCTAAGCTTAGTGAGAAACAGAAGAGACTCTACTATGAAGTCGCTCGTAAACTGGAGAAAACGCAGCAGCAGCGCTACCCTGGTAGTGTCATTTATTGGCCTCACTGCAGCTTTGGATAGTTGATGAGCTATTTATGCAGGAGTACAAAATATTGTAGAATGTTGTAGATGACCTCTGACATGCACTCACATTTGACTCTCACTGTCATTCCAGACGATGAGTATCTCCCCAAGAAGAGAAATAGCAGAGAACTCACCTCCGAACAGGGAGCTGGACAGTTGTCACAGCAGAGCTTCAGTGTTCCCACTTATGCCTCACAGGTTCTACCTTTGACTCAGCCAATGTTGCTGCGTCCTATTTTGATGCCCTATTCTTGGGGCTACTATCCTTTTTCATTATTTTGCACATACTGTCTAATGGCCTTTTGTTCCATGGACCAGAGCCACTATTCAAGGTGTTTCTTATTCGATCATGGCTACTGATAAATTATAGCATGTGATAATACATGCACATACACAAACTTAGTATTTAAAAAAAGGGTTAAGTGATTCCAAATATTTAGTTGTGTTTTGACATATTCTCTGTAATACTTTCATGGCCTTTTTACAGACCCTTGTTTGTCAGCAGTTGCATGCAAGGAGTAAGTCATTACCAAGAAGCGTGGACTCCCTACCACCGTTCCCAGCAGAGTGAGGTGTTCAACTTGGCTCCTGTCAGCACAGAAACCGTGCAGCAGACGCCTTACCCTGCTCGTATCAGCCAAGATCTCCTCATGAACTCTAACACAACTTCAGCAATCTCTGGTGATTCACCACTTAATTAGAATAGAAGTTAGAATCTTTATAAATGTTATCCTTTTGAGTTTGTCAGCTAACAAACATATTTCACTACAGACTTGAACTTTTAGTGTTGTCTTTTTATGTTTATTGAATTTGAAAACGCTTGTAAAAATTAAATGTATATGTTGTTTAGGTTAATACACATTAAAATAAAGAAAAACTCTACACTTAACCATTTTTCATGTGTAAGGTCTAGGAGTCTTAAGGGTTCATACAGCTCTTCTGAACAGAGATCACTGAGGTTGCTACTTGAATCTGTTGGAGTCACTATCTCAGGACGATAGGGTCAAAGCAAAAATGCACCAGTGACCATTGCCACTTTCCACAACTTCTTTATTTTAGTTTTTCAGACCTTGGTTTTCCTCAGTCTTCTGTTTAGAGCGGCTGTGATCGCTGCCTTCTTTGATGGGTTTTTTAACCACTGCAATGTCTGGTTGGTTAGCCATCACCTGCAGCATAAATGTTTTTAAAGAGCATCTAAAAATTATTTCAAAATTGTGTGCCTGTTTTATTTGTTTCCAGACGCTGTAAAGGCAGTTCTTTTCAGGCTTCGGTTCTTCTCAGTCTAAGCATTTCATTAACCCTGTTTTAATCTTGCATGGCAAATAAACACAACTTGAACTTGCTTTATTTTCAAGCTGCTGGTTATACTTTTAGCCACATGATGTCGCTAAAGACAACTGTGTTGAAAATATTCGAGTAATGAACCTTTTTGTCGAAACAAGCTTCAAAGCTTTAGAAAAGTTTTATTTGGCCATCACTGCCAATCATGGACTTGGTTAAAATGTGCCTCACCTTCAATGTACAGGTCAATCAGCATTTAAATTGATTTTAAAATATTGGTAATTTGCTAAAAAAAAAAAAAAAAAAATCTACATTTTGCAACACCGTGCGTTAGAGGGTAAAACATGTAACAAAATAAACATCACGATCAACATTGTGAACTATGAAAAAAGTGTTCCGATTTATCATCAATGAACAAAGATACACCGAGAAACAACTGGGACTCACTCGAACCAGTCAACGTTAGTTTCAAGAGTCGCGAGAAAATTATTACCCAATCAGAGTGAGCGATACTCACGCCTCGTACTGATTGACAGCAAAGGTTTACCAATCACACACGTAAAACCCACTTAGGGGCGTTTCCAGGAAGAAAATAGTTAAAATTTTCTTGTAATGGCGGACCAGACAGAGAGCGAAACTGTGGGGTTTAACGACAACAGGTCAGAAATCAGAAAATTAGACGTTAAAATAAATACGAGCAGATTGTTTTGTTGAACACATGCCAGTATTTTATATGCATATGGTTGAAGGTATTTATGATAGAAATGTTGCGATAAGTAGCAGTTTAGTTGTGAATGTAGCCACGCCAGCTAACTAGCTTGTTGCTAACTAGCCCATGTTGCAGCTTTCTTGCTGTTCCGCTAGGCGGTAAACAGACACCTTTCTAATCATACTAGGCTGCCAACTCACTGGGCCTTAGTCTTGCGTTCAGACAATACAATTGTTAATAATTATTACCCAGCTAACTAAGCTATAACATAGGTAAATATATGCACACAACTTCGTCAATGTTTTGAATGGAATGAGTTTCTGTTAGCCTTGTTAGCTAGAAACGATCCATGGATTTATGCGTACACAATCCACTGGCTATACCACAAAAGAATCTAAGCATATTTTTTTTCTCCAAGCTTTTTCACATATCTGTAAACATACATAAACGAATAATTGCATGTTTAACACCGATTCATTTATAAAGGTAAAGTTATACTGATTCACATTGCGCTTTCCGTCCATTGTAACACCTTCATTATCATTCAAGATTCAAGGTTCTTTATTGTCTTTCACGTCGCATATGGTACATGAGGTGGAACGAAATTGTGTACACAGGGTCCCAGTTACATCCAACAATAGCAAAAATATAAATTGTAAAAATAAACAGTATCATCTGTCAGGATTGACAATTGCTGCAATACTTGCAGTTTATAGATTTTACACTTGCTGTATTTTACTCATTATCTTTGAAGAACTTTATCTAACGTGTGGGTTTTTGTAATTTGGCTAATTTCTTCCCAAAAGTTGTTCATATATAAAAATTGAAGCTAAAAGGTCAACAAAATCAACCATATTAAAACGCATGTAGATACTGTGGCATGGTAGAAGTGATATACAGTACAGTCAAATCTGCAGTATTTATTTTTACTGTACATGAAAACCTCAAATAAACTGTAGGGATACTCAGTTTAAATCAGTACTTAATAGGTAAACTTCACGGATGGTTAATGCAGCTAGTTGGAAATTGTCGTTTTATCGTAATTATAGAAAAGTGTCAGTACATAAGTGATTACATTTTAAATGGTGGGGCAGTATAAAAAAAGTAAATGAAATTCTCTCTCTTTCTGGTGCTCATATTCTCCAATTAAGTAATGCTGTGTAAAATGGTGATGATGATCTGTCCAGATGACATGATTTAACTTTTTTGTGGGGTAAAATGATTTATTAAACAAGACATTTCACTTTTTTTTGTGACAGTTGCCTATTTATGACAAATGGCCTGTTAAAGTTTCTTTTTACAACAAAAAATGTTCAAATCTATTTTTTTTCATGTTACCAGTACTCATTTTTGCTTCTAAATAGTAATACACCACACTTTGACTTGATAAACTCAGTAGCTCATGTTTTTCATTAGTCATCAAGTTGTAGCATCACTTTATTTATTAACTTTGTATTGCATTATTAGAATGGCGCAGCAGGCTGTGCGGTTCCGCGGCCCTGCTCCTACCCCTGTCCCAGCTCCTGCACCTGCTCAGGCCCCAGTGTTACGAGGTCCTCCACCACTCCTTAGGCCACCACCACCTCCTTTTGCAATGATGAGGGGACCCCCGCCAAGACCCCCATTTACTCGGCCACCCTTTGACCCGAATATGCCACCCATCCCACCACCAGGAGGCATGCCACCACCTATTGGACCTCCTCACCTTCAGGTGAAAATTCAGTGTGCAATATAAATGGTCTTCTTTGTGTGAGTGTGAGTCTAACTTCACACCAGCAGTGTAACATGAGCAGTCTGTAACATGGTTTTTATTTTAGTTCCCATGTCAATATGTTAGAGTGATAATCTTTACACTGGCAAGACACCATCTTTGTAAAGACAAAACATAGAGACAAGGAATGTATATAACACATTAGAAACGCATTAGAAAACCGTTAGTTTTTTTTTTACAATGCAAGTTTGTTCATGGATGTTGACATTTTTATATATGCATTTACTATATGAAAACAATAACACGGTTCATTTATTTTCTTTTGATAACTACAGTATAACTAAGATAATTTACGTGTGAATTCTCAAGAAGATGTTTAAAAGTTAATTTTAGAAAGTTGGTATTAAGTTCTCTAACAAGTATTTTACAAAGAAACAGACAAACAATGAAATTGTTTTGTTTTGTTCCTATATGTTAACACAACTGCAACATTCGCTCTCAAAACAATGCACATTAATGAAAGATGATTATGCTTGAGCATGTTTCATAATTTCTTTCTAGATTTTACTGTAACTGATTTCTTAATGCTGTGCTTATCTCCGAATGAAACGGTACCGATGCAAAAAGCTTCTGAAATTTGAGTCTTCATTAAGCTGCTGAAAACCTAGATGACTGATTACCCGATGAGGCACTTTCTCCGTGCCTCATCACTCATATTTTGTTTCATTTCTCTCCGTAGAGTTTGAAAACTAAATTCTAGATTGTATATTTTTTGCAGAGACCCCCATTTCTTCCCCCTCCCATTGGTAGCTTGCCACCTCCTCCTGGGATGTTATTTCCCCCTGGGATGCCTCCCATTCCTTCATCCGGAAGCCCCACTCCTACCCCTGCAGAGGAGATCTGGGTCGAGAACAAGACATCAGAAGGAAAGGTAGGATGGGCGGCTTATGTTTGCTCCCACAGACGTCCCACTTTTTTCCTCACTGAGGGTGATCACTTCATTGCCTTTAAGCAGCTTTACAGGAGGTTGTCTGAAAAAGGCCACCAATAGCCTAAAAGAGACTCAGATTTAGTAAAAGTAATTTGTTAGCATGTTTCGACCTGTAACAAGATGTTTAACACTAAATTTAAAGTTGCACTTGTAATTATGGAGAAAAGAATGTACATAATTATTGCAGACGAACCCCACCAACTGTCGTCTTTTTTCTTATTACCCCCACAGACATATTACTATAATGCTCGGACCAGAGAGTCATCGTGGAGTAAACCAGATGGTGTGAAGGTCATTCAACAGTCTGAACTTAACCCTCTTATTGTAGCGGGGTCTGCAGGTTCAGGTTCAGGTGCTAATGTGGGTGTGACTGCAGCTGTCAGCTCCAGCAGTGGTAACACTACAGCCAGCACAGCAGGAGCAGCCTCCACTACTCAGGCTCCAACTTCAACTCTGTCCCACACACACACCTCCAGTCCTGACTCCGTCACCACCCCCTCGCCCTCTGTGACCATCTCAGGTAAATACTCAGGTGCATATCAACAATTAGTATGCAAGCTTTCATGCACACTTAAGCTAAACTTAAAATGTATGTTGTTCCCAGCAGCCACAGTTGTAGCAGACCTCTCCCCTGTTGCCACAGTGACCTCAACTGTTGCTGTGTCTCCAGTCACCGTAGTGACTGTTTCCACGGTGCCATCACCCGTCACAGCTGTTCAGACTGTGCCACTGCTGCCTGCAGCTCTGCCTCACAGTGTGGCCCAGCCCACTGCAGCCATACCTGCCTTCCCTCCTGTCATGGTGCCACCTTTCCGGGTGCCTTTACCAGGCATGCACATCCCTCTACCAGGTGAGCTGCACGACAACTGTACAAACATTATAACTAACTAATTACTCATTTAGCTATGTTGTACATTTATTGTTCAGAGTCTTTTGAGTCTGATTTTTCAGTGTTTTGTCTTGTTCAGTTTGCAAATGTTGCTATGTGGGTCACTGTAGCGTCACTCTACAAAGCATTTTCACATAAACCGGTGGAAAGTACATGGAATCAAAAGTGAGTTCTGTTTAGAGTAAAACTGATTTGCAAAATAAGTGGAATTCAGTGCACAAGGTGTTCAGGCAGTAGTTTTTTTTTTGTTTTTTTTTCCGGCGATTTTTGCTGGCTAAAATGAATGCTTTAGAAACACAAGATCATGTCTCTAAATTCTGCTTAAACTATGTGAGTGACAAAAATGCAGCCTGTATATTGTAGTTCCTTACTTTTTGGTGTAATTTGATAGTGCTATATAATCCTAATCAGTTGTTTATGTTGTTTTATGGATTAAGTGATTCACACATTTACAGGGCTGTGTCTCAGATTGAACAGATGGCTTTTCAGCAGACTGAGAATTCCTTAAACATGTTTTTTTTCCCCAAATGAAAGAATTTTAGTTCAGCCTGTTACATATGTCACACATAAATAAAACACTTGTGTATATTTATGTGCATAATGCAAAACAGCTTCATAAATATGATGCAACTGCTGTCCCAAATGAAGAGGCAGAACACACACACACACTTACACACCTTGGTAGCTGATGTCTCGTGTCCTGCTGTGTCCAACCACATGCTTGCTTGTCCGTTGTTCTTGCAGGTGTAGCAATGGTGCAGATAGTAGGTGCGCCCTGTGTAAAGGCAGGCCCCAGCGCCAACGGTAAACACCCAGCCGCTCGCCTCTCAGATCTACATTAGATGGCATGGTAGTGAGTGGTGTCTACATGCATCGTATTGTATATATGGGGACGTTCAAACAGTGGCATGGCGTTGACTGCTGTGAACATGATTCATTCAGTGTACAGTGGTGACTTTCAGCCATTCCTACAGATAGAAACAGAATATGCAGCTTGACTGTGATCGTACATGCTTCAGTTCTCATTATGACACTATTCTTTTAACGATGGATTAAACAAAGCAGCACTTTATTTCCACATTTTTAGCAACGTATATAGTTTAAAGCATACAGCTGCAATTTTCTGCACTTCAGGTACGTCTTCTGAATGTGGTGTCAGGTGTACTCATTTTTATCAGTTTACTGTGATGAAGTCTTAGAATGGAGCTTGTTTTTGAATGTTGGGAACAATCTTCTTTCATTCAGGGGTCTAGTGACTTTAAATAAGTTAACAGAGATCATCTTTGTCCCATCAACGTTAGTTGCTGTTGCTGTCTTGTTGTGGCATGGTTGTTGGTCTGCGGTCACTACTTGTTTATTTGTGTATGTGACCTGTGTCTGTGTTCAACTAGATGTTTTCTGAAGATATATAAAGTTGTTTACATACAATATGTCACTTACTCTCTTTACAAAGGAACATTTTGAGGGTCATTCATCAACTTTGACTCAGTTTAGTACACAAACTAATTAGCAGCTTGTAGTGAAAGAACCATACACAGTAGAGCTGTGACTCATCTGCTGGCTGTACTATATGATAACTAGTCTAAATTATCCCAACAACCTGTTTCTTCGTTAAGGGTTTGTTTGCATTTTTCCAACTGACATACGGAGCACATTGTTTATAAATATACACAGGAGAATAATAACTGAATGAGATAATCCAGGCTCCTTTTGTCTATTTAATTACATTGTCATGACTTAGAATTCTATATCAATTTCTTTGAGTTGTTTAAGAAGATCAATTATCATAACTAACCCTCAACTCTCTTGTTTCCTCTGATCATCTGCAGGCATGCTCCCCGGTATGGGCCCACCTTTAGTTTCCATGATGCACCCCCAGCTGACACTTTCAGCAGCACCTGCTTCTCTAGCTGGGTCATTGCAGCTCCCTGAGTGGTCAGAGTACAAAACAGCTGATGGGAAAACGTATTACTACAACAACCGGACCCTGGAGTCCACCTGGGAGAAACCCCAGGCTCTAATAGAAAAGGGTAGGCACTGCCTTCACATTGTGATAAACTACTCTACTTGTACTAAACAAGAATTGTTATTCTTATTTCGTAAAAGTAACAATCTAAAAGTATAGTAAAGATGCATTTCAAATGTAGTTTACCTAACAAAAAGATAAACAAATGTCATTTTTATTATATACATTAATATTAAGGTGTGTTTAAGGTTGTAGTGTGTGAACAGTGTTATTTGTTTAAGTGCACCATTTTCATTAACTTAAAAAGTGGTTTAACGTTTCTACTTTGCACTGGGAGTAGTTCTTTTTATTTATTTGATCGTAAATACGTCAAATACTAAGAAAACATAAGCACTAGATATGGTGCACAATCAAATTCATAAGAACCCTACCAATTAGGGATGCACGATATTGGATTTTTGGCCGATATGTTAAAACATTTGGTCGATAACTGATATATTTTATATACTTTCCTTTGTCAGCCTCTTATTTAGGCTTATTTGCTACAAAAATTGTGTAAGAGCTGGTGACATATATTCAGTAACAGCCATATGCATAGCACTTTAACTTATATTTAATGAAAAGTGTTAAATGTTATTTATTAGCATTAGCCACCTGCAATGCTGTTTTACTTGTGGAGGCTTGTTCTGGGTTTCTAGCTGCAGTGTGGGATCCTCTGCTCTCCTGTGCATGAATGACAGACTTTTTAAGTTCAAAGGTTTTGTCTATCCATTGGGCCGTAAAACTAATCATGCTAATGGGGCTAACACTTGACGTCCAAATGTCTGTGGTAAAATTCACCCAAGTGCTATCGGCTATTAGCTTCTCAATGATGTCGGAAATGACGGCTTGTAACTCGGGTAAGGCTACGTCAGAAAAATATCTCTGACTGGTACGATGTAGCGAGCCTCAACGTAGTCCAAAAATCGTCGAAATCCAGTATCCTGTACGAAAAAAACTTCCACATCGCCGCCATTTTGACTTTTTCCCCTCCGCCGTGATCAGATCAGGTAGACGCGCATGACGTCATCACGTTGTGCTGCCGCTGCACGCATCCTTGTCACTGGGTTGTCATACAAAAACAGAATCTTTTATATCGGTGAGTTATTTTGATGGAATGGCCGATGTTCGATATTTAACTTTAATGCTAATATCGGCCGATACGATACCATGCCGATAATATCGTGCATCCCTACTACCAATATTTCATTTTCAGATTGTATATTTTCACCTTTTTTTGTTGTTAGCAAAAGAAGCCGAAAAAGCTAAAGAGCGTCTGATGCAGGAGGAGGCTGAAGCAATGGAAATGGAAGCGGAGGAACTCAAATCAGAAGACATTAATAATGAGAAGGAGGTAGGTGAAGCAGACTTGCCTTTATTACAATAAAACGATACACTGAAACCGTAGTTATAAGGCAAAAGAAGCAATAAACTAAATCTGTAGTAATGCTTCAAACTTTGGGGGGTTTATTGGTTAAATAATGTAAAATTAAACAAAACAAGTAGTAGCTGTGCATTTCTTGCTGAATTTTTTGTTTGTTTTTGTGAAGGAGCCTAAAGAGTTGACAGAGGAGGAAAAGGCAGCTCAGAAAGCCAGGCCTGTAGCCACCAACCCAATCCCTGGCACTCCTTGGTATGCATCCCATCAAACCCACAATGACATCATCGCTTCTCTTTGTGACAAAAAAAAAAAAAAGAATGCTTTGTACTTCCTCCTCTGGTCAGGTGTGTCGTATGGACGGGAGATGATCGTGTTTTCTTTTACAACCCAACGACACGACTGTCCATGTGGGACCGACCCGACGAGCTGATCGGCCGCGCTGATGTCGACAAACACATTCAGGAGCCTCCGCACAAGAAAGGCCCAGAGGACGGCAAGAAGACGAGTGAGGACAAGCATACTTTTTGACAATGAACGCAACACGTTTGGTTGTTTCTTTTATGTTGCATGACTTTTGTGTGGTCAGGTGTCAGTAAGGAGGAGCCAGAGTTATCCATTGCTACAGAAGATAATGAGGATGAGGAGCCAACCAAAGCCAAAAAAAGAAAGTAAGTCCACTGGGACCGATAGATGTCAAACGTCTTCCTCTTTTAACAATAAAAATAAAACATTTGATTTACATAGATTCTTTCAAGGAACTCAAAGATGCTAAAAGCATAAAGACTTCTGCCTTGAACTTCTAGCTTAATTTAAAACTTGGAAAAATGTTGTTTTTTTTGGTGATCTTTGTGATTCCAAATTGACAGGAAGGAGGACTTGAAGGAGACAGACACAGAGAAAGAAGCATCGATGGAGGCAGAGCTCAGGGCTGCCAGAGAAAGAGCTATAGTGCCACTAGAGGCCAGGATGACTCAGTTCAGAGAAATGCTTCTGGAGAGAGGGGTAATGTGTTATAAATGTAAATTATTACAGTGGGTGTTTAATGTATTGTGTTATCTCTTTTCAGTTTGACTGATGTTTATGGCTTAAAAAAAGACAACAAATTAGTTTTATTAAACATACTGAGATCTTTATTAAGTCAGTATTGGACTTTAGGGGTGTACAAAGTTAATTTTTATGTCTAAAATCAGTGTTTTTGTTTTGTTTGTAGGTGTCTGCCTTTTCCACTTGGGACAAAGAACTTCACAAGATTGTGTTTGATCCACGTTACCTTCTACTCAATCCAAAAGAGAGGAAACAGGTTTGTTTTCTGTTCATGTTTTGGTTTTCTTCAGCGTTTCTGTGCCCTTTTAAAGTCCTTCACTCGTGTTGTTACAAACATATCTTCAGGTTTTCGATCAGTACGTGAAGACACGAGCGGAAGAGGAGAGAAAGGAGAAGAAGAACAAACTGATGCAGGCCAAGGATGATTTCAGGAGAATGATGGAGGAGGCCAAGCTTTCACCTAAGTAAAGAAATGATTAGTTTAATGTTGCAGATGCTTTTTTTTTTTATTTAGATTTTTATATATTTAAAATAACTTTTTTTTATGAGGCATGAACATATTTCGTAGAATTCAAAGTTTTACTAATTTACTTCTTTTAAAAAACAATCTTTGCAGAACAACATTTAGTGAATTTGCTATGAAGCACGGCAGAGATTCTCGGTTTAAGACCATCGAGAAGATGAAGGACAGGGAAGTTATTTTCATCGAATTCATGACTGCGTTGAGGAAGAGAGAGAAGGAGGACTCCAAAACCAGAGGAGAGAAGGTATCCTTTACTGAAAACTGGGCTCTTTTATTTTGTTAATGCAGAACACTTAAACCTTTTAACATTTGTAAAGGGTTGGAAAGTTTCTGTAGTCTTGAGTTTCAGTGTTTCCACCAGGATCCTGAATATTATAAAGAGTAGGTGGTTAAAAATATAAAAAAAAAAAAGTTTATTCTTGCAGCTGTGTTAACATTGAAGATATATCTCCTGTGTTCTGAGCACAGGCGTTAATGTTTTTTTATATTTGTTGCCACAACTATATAGTCCCTCGTTTATTGTGTGGGTTACGTTGCGGAACACCCCCCCACCCCACCCCACCCCTGCAATGAGTGAAAATCCGCAAAGTAGTGACGTTATATTTATTTTAATATTTATATATATTTTAAAGCTTTAGAAACCCTTCCCACACCCTTACAATGTTCTAAACTCTTAAACCTACGTAATTTTAACAACATGCATATATGTAGCTACTAAATTTTACTCACCAGCTGGCAGAACAGTAGTGGTTCTCGGTTATGGTCCAACTCGGTTCTGTTTCTGCAGACCTACCCTGCAGCAACAAAGCCCAAAATGTTCAAAATTCTTAAACCTACTAATTTTAACAACATACTTATTTGTAGCTGCTAAATTTTACTCGGCAGAACAGCCGACTTGGTTCCGTTTTGGCGGATCTACCCTGCCAGTTCTGGTCGGCTCTCTGGCTCAGGGTAGAAGTGGTGGGCTCCAGAGAGAACGCCGGACATACGGCTGCTTGTCCCTTCTTGGAAGTCCTCATGGGCCGACTAACAGCTCACAGGTTCGCTGATGGGTCTGGGGTTCCGGTTCAGGTCCGGTTCCGTGCGGCTCTGAATCCGCTGGGTGCCGAAGTCACTGTAAAGGACCGAACTTTTTCAGATCAAATCAAAGCTTTCCCTCTACGTATTTCAGCAGAAAGCAACGCGGCTTCTGGGCGGAGCCCTGTTGGCTTCAGGGAAATGTAGTCCTTATGAGCGACGATACAGTGTAGACGTACTGAGGAAAAAACTACAAAAGGGCAGCGCCTGTCTGAAGTATTTTATTTTGCCGTTAACGTTTTACTGTACAGTATTCTGCACTGTCCCGATCACGTGAGTAATATTAAAGGTACCAATCGTGTCGTGTATTTTTTTTTTCTTGTTTACAATCTTAATTTGAAAAACCGTGTTAGAGCGAGTTTGCGAAAGTCGAACCGCGAAGTAGCGAGGGCCTACTGTAGAGCCTACTCCAGCTGCTTTTGTTGTGTCCAAGTAATCCCAGCAGCAGTTTTATTAAAGTCATATTATTATAATGTGTATATATATATATATATATATATATAATTACAGTCTGATGAGTTGATAGGGCTGAAAAAAAATGTTTAAGTTGGTGTCAAGTATCAATATAACATGATATATAGACCTTAACACAAGTTTTTGATTGTGTCAAGAGAAACGGTGTTACTTGAACTCAGTCGTCATAATGTTGTGGCTGATTAATGCAGATTCAACGCTAAATTAAAACAGCTATCCTTTGCTTTTTGTGAATTTAGATCTGTGATCTAGATCTTGTGTTTGTTGTCCTGTTAATGTGTCTTTAGGTAGGTTACAAAGTTCCATCATCTGCAGTACTGCTGTTTTGCTGTTCGGCATGCATTTGAACAGACTTTAATGAAAACGTGTTTCCATTTTTTGCTCCCAGGTAAAGCTAGACTTTTATGATCTCCTAAGTGAGCAGCTTACAGACGGAAGCCATCGATGGAGCAAAGTGAAGGAGAGGTTAGAGACCGACTCTCGTTACAAGGCCGTGGAGAGCTCTGCACTCAGAGAGGAACTTTTCAAACAGTTTTTGGAAAAACAAGCAAAGGTAGGAGCTGCTCTTTAAATGAGAGGATGTTGTCACAATTTACTATGTTGTCTATATATATTATTATATTTTTATCATCAAGGTGGGATTTAGATTTGGGACTTTCTGTAATAGGAGAGTTCATCCGCAGGTCTCTAAATATTGTCCATAAAAAGGTCTCTAAATATCGTCCATAAAATACTCTTGAGATGAGTTAGAGACACCCACGATGACTCTGAAACTATTTTGAGAAAAAAAAAATTGGTGCAAAAAACTTTTCAAATTGTTTAAAATTCATTAAGTGACAAGATTGTAAACTTCTGCAACTCAGGCAATGAAATTGAGAACCTTAACAAATGTTGCAATACATTTTGGTGTTTCCCTCGCAATTGTTGTTTGCCTTCTAGCCCCCAACAGTTACAACCTGACAAGATGTTACCTTTACGTGTTAGTAATCTGTGATTTGTCTGGAAACAAAGCTGCAAAATGGACTTTTTATAACTAAGTTTACATTTTGTCAAAGATATGGCTATAAATAAATGTTTAAACGCATCTGATGTAACATTTTCCACAATTTTTATTTTTCGGACATGGTCCTGCTGCACAGCTTACAGAGCTAAAATACAGCGTTAGCTTAAAACGAGGAGGCTTGAGTAATGAACCACACTATGCATCACTTTTTCTCGCTTGAAATGTTGTACAAAATATAAATACGTCACAAAGAAAATGTGTGTCGTTACGTGCAGAATGTGGACATCGAGAAGGAGCGCGAGTTGGAGCGGCAGGCTCGTATTGAGGCCAGTCTCAGAGAGAGGGAGCGGGAGGTGCAGAAGGCCCGATCGGAACAGACCAAAGAGATCGACCGAGAACGGGAGCAGCACAAAAGGGAGGAGGCCATTCAGAATTTCAAAGCTCTCATGTCTGACATGGTGAGCTATGATGGGTTTGTATTTGCTGTGATTATTTGCGACCCAGTGCATTGAGAAATTTCTGTCCTCTCAGGTGCGCTCTTCAGACGCAGCATGGTCAGACACTCGCCGCAACCTGCGAAAGGACCATCGCTGGGAGTCTGCATCGCTACTGGAAAGAGAGGAGAAAGAGAAGCTGTTTAACGAACACGTAGAAGCTCTGGCCAAAAAGAAGAAAGAACAATTCAGACAGCTGCTGGATGAGACCAGCATGGTAAGAAATAAAAATATGGAGCACCAAATGTACCCAACGCACCTAGGAAGGTACTGAACAATCTGGGCCTCGGTTTTATTTCTGACACCTGTGAAAAAGTCATTTATAGGTTTTTCAATTTTGCCCGTGTGTTTGTTGTAGATCACTCTAACAACTACATGGAAGGAAGTGAAAAAAGTCATCAAGGATGACCCTCGCTGTATTAAATTCTCTTCCAGTGATAGAGTAAGAATATTTTAAACAAATGTGGAGTTGAAATATGTAATAACTTCCTGGATATCCATGGTCATGATGTTTTGTGTTTTTTGAAGAAGAGACAGCGAGAGTTTGAAGACTACATCAAAGACAAGTACATCACCGCCAAGGCTGACTTCAGAACTCTGCTGAAAGAGACAAAGTTCATCACATACAGGTCTGGGTGTCCTTCAGACAGAAATACATTTTTTTAATGACTTTGAAAAGTAGTTATTCATATTGCTTTGTTGACTGAACCTCACGGTACACCTCGAATAAAGGATTTGGATCCAAGAACTATCACAAATCTAATGTTCCAGATGGCTCATTATTTGGTCAGTACTTTAGCTATGTGTCCATCTACTTTAGTCAGTTTCCAGTGAAACTATGTAAAGTAAATGTTTTTTTTTTTTGTTTGTTTTATATTATACTAAATCAAATGATGCACTGTAGGCGTTGAATGATTTATTCTTTTGAGTTTGTTGAATTTATTGACATCTGTTTTGTAACCGGTGGACAGATAGTGTTTAAAATAATTGTTTTATTTGTTACAGAGACGTGTCCAATAACGAATTTTAATCTCAACGTAGATCCTTCACGGAGTTTGTTACTACTGTGGTGGTTCTGATTCTTCTCGTTCCTCTCCCAGGTCAAAAAAGCTGATCCATGAGTCAGATCAGCATCTGAAGGATGTGGAGAAGATCCTTCAGAACGACAAGCGGTACCTCGTTCTGGAGTGTGTTCCAGAGGAACGCAGGAAGCTTATCATGTTCTACATCGAAGACTTGGACCGACGTGGCCCACCGCCTCCTCCCACCGCCTCTGAGCCAACTCGACGTTCTACAAAGTGACCAACATAACCTTCATGGCCAGTGCCCCTCCCTGCTCTCCTTGTGGCCAGAGCATGACTTCCCTTCAGCACCTTCTGAACCCCAGTTTTCAGACTGGCCTTGCAGTGTTAATGCTGAGGGTTAAATTGCTTAGAGATGAACGGTCAAGGTCTCTGCTACGTCACCTCTTAGCCCTGAAGTCGTCCTGCGTTTACGGTAACAGCAGGGAGCAGAGGTTACCTGAAGTCAAGGTGACCCATGACCTCTTTCCTCTGACTGACCACTTGAGAGGGAGAGGGAAAGTAATGAGGCTGTTTGAGCAGCCACACAGATGTATATCTGATGTAAATGAAGATGTGTGTGTGCGTGCGTGCTTGGTGCACGCAGGGTTAAATATGTGTGCATTTGTTTGAGGCGTCCTTAAGCCTTACAGCTCCACTGCTAGTCCTCTGCGGCTCGGTGTGAATGTTAGTTTCAGCTCGGTGGTTCACTTCGAATAAAAGCAACTGTTTTTCAATAAGATGTACTGTTCTGTCTTTTTTAATACCTGTGATAAAGTTTTTGTTAGTTTCTAAAATGTCACTATCACTGCAGCACTTTTATAGTTTATAAGCATGGTTTGTATGACTGCAAGAGATTTTTGGAAATTGAGCCTTTTATGACTTTGATAACTTCTTAAAAAAGAGCTTTAAGGCTTTTTGATAATGGCCAATTTAGATTGAATTATCAGAAATGGTGCAAAGAGAGGACTAGATGGGAATATAAGAAGAATATTAAGAGATTTAACAAAAGGTAAAGAGGGAGGTAACAGGCACAAGAGCAGGTCGAAGAAAATCAAAAAGCTGAAAGAAAAAAACTTTTATGTAAATATCAATAATAGCCAATTCTTAAAGCCTCATTTGAACATTACTAAATCCCAAAAAAGATTATTTAATTTGTACTTATTAATGTCATTCCGACAGCAGCTGGGATAACAGACTGCTCTGATTGGTCGAAACATTTCAAATCACGTGATATTGCCGGATGTGATCGTTTATTCATTATCGGGTCTGCTTCTTTTTAATCACAAGGTTAAAAGCTGCCGGCGGGATGAGGTGTTACCTTAAATTAGGAACTATTTTTCAATGTGATCTGAATATTACTGGAAGCGAAAGGAAGAGAAACAGCAACAATTACTTGCTGGTTATTGCGCAGCTCTAAACCCCTCACCATATTTATTGTTTTATCCATCGATATTTATTCAGGACGACAGAAAGTTGTCCCGAATCAAAGCAGCCCCGTTACGTTTGTGCTAGCCGCATCGCAGTTCGGCGTACACACGCAGCAGACGACGCCACCAAGGACGCCGGCGTTTAAATGATGCGGACCCCTGACTTGTTCCGCATCATCTTCACCAATCTACTAGCGTCCTCTGTGCAGTAACGGTTCCTTTAACATTTACTTTTTTTGTTTACCCCAGTTAAACACATCTAAATGTTATTCATGCTTTAAGGCTGTTTTTATATATGAAGTAAACTGAAGATAAGTTCCTGAACTGAACTCGGTAACCTTTTTCTACTCCTGTGTTGTTGTTGCCGCCATGAGTGGCTTCCAGCTCTCCCTTTTGGCCGTCGTGCTAACTGTCTGGTCGGCTGTTGGAGACCAGGAGGCATCCCCTCCTGTCGATGGAGCTCCGCCTTCAAAAATAGGCAAGATAAACGCTTATTTTTTTGTTTTGTTTAATAAGCTCAATCAAGGCGCAAAATTCTGCTAATGTTCGTTAACCAGCAGTGTAGAAATAAAACCAACCCAGAGATAAGGATGTTTAAAAGACAACGATTTCAAAACGGATATTTTTTCAAACCATTTTCTCTGGTTGAGGCCCATCACATGAACCAAACAAAACTTGAAGTCTTGGAGCGAGTAGTGACATAGCTTCAAGGTGGAGGTGGGAATGCATCAAGGATCACCTCTGAGCCCCTTATTGTTTGTACTGGTGATGGACCGATTAATAACAGATGAGGTCAGGCAGGAATCCCCGTGGATGATGTTTGCAGATGACGTGCTCTGTGTTGAGAACAGAGAACAGGTGGAAGAGAATTTGGAGAGGTGGAGGTACACACTTGAAATAAGAGGAATGAAAGTTAGCCATAGTAAGACAGAGTAAGTGTGTGTGAATGAGAGGGAGGCAGGTGGGACAGTGAGGCTACAAGGAGCAGAGGTCACAAAGGTGCAGGACTTCAAGAACTTGGGGTCCACTGTCCAGGAAAATGGGGAGCGTGGTAATGAGGTAAAAAAGAGAGTCCAGGCAGGATGGAGTGGAAGGAGACAAAAGGGTGTCAGCAAAGGTCAAAGGAAAAGTTTACAAGACAGTTGCGAGACCAGCTATGTTGTATGGTCTGGAGACGGTGGCATGGACAAAAAGACAGGAGAAAGAACTGGAAGTTGCAGAAATGAAGATGTTGAGTTTCTCCTTAGGAGTGACAAGGATGGATAAGATTAGGAATAAGATCATCAGAGGTACAGCACAGGTTGAACAACTGGGAGATAAAGTTAGAGAGACCAGACTGAGATGGTTTGGACATGTCCAAAAGAGGGACAGTGGGTATACTGGTAGAAGGATGTTAGAAATGCAGCTGCCAGGAAAAAGACAAAGAGGAGATATATGGTTGCAGTTAGAGAGGACATGGAGGTAGTTAGAGTGAGGAAAGAATGAGATGGAGGAGGATGACTCGCTGTTGAGACCCCTGGAGAGGGAACAGCCAAAAGAAGAAGTAAAGCCTTGTCCACCTCATTTTAGTAACAGGATAATTTAGTTAATTTTTTTCAGAAGCAAATTTTCTATATTCTCTTTTATACTGACCTCCAAGTCCAGTTTAAGGCTGTATTAAAAAAAAAGTTATCTTTCCTCCATTTCTCAAGTTTGCTTAATTTTGTTTGCATTGCATTTTACAAATGTTCCCTTCAGCGGCTGTGGCTGAGTGGTTAGAGCAGTCGTCCTCCTAAGCAAGAGTTGGGGGTTCAAATCCACCAGCAGTCGCATGCCAAAGTGTCCCTGGGCAAGACACTGAACCCCTCATAGCCTCAGATGTGTGTCCCATCGGTGTATGAATGTGATAAAACACTGATTATTCTCTTTAGAATGATTTGTTCAATTAGCTTTGCAGAGATCTAGTAGAGTGCTGTATGAATTTGGAAATGAGGACACAGATTGGAGTGTAAAGCACTTTGAGTGTTGATAAGATAGAAAGGTGAAATATAAGTACAGTCCCCACCCCCAATAAAAAAAAAAAAGAGTCCAATATATGTATTCAGTATTTCCCCTAGTTAACTTGCCATGGCGGGGGGCTCATCTCATCCATGATTTTTGTTGATGGGGGGGGGGGGACGGACAATTGTCTGAGCGCAGCTTGTACTAACAGTTTTTGAGTGGGGGCAGGGGGTGTTTAGCATGAGGGAAGAGGCAACATGAGTGCTTCCTTTAGCTTTATAGCTAGAGAACCTGAATTTCTCACTGCTAGCTTAGTGCTATGTCAGTGCCGGGTGGGCAGGTTGGGGGGCAAGTTTGGTTTGATAGGTGGGGTGCTCAATTCGGTTGACGGGGTGGGGCACCCCACTTGTATAATGGTAGGGGAAACACTGGTATTTGTTCACACTCTAACTCAATACAATAAAACCTGATGACAATTAAAAAACACAATTTTCTCATCTTTCTCTAGCGGTGGTCGGAGCGGGAATAGGCGGCAGCGCTACGGCCCATTTCTTGCAACAACACTTTGGCCCAGAGGTGCAGGTGGACGTGTTTGAGAAGGATGAAGTTGGAGGCCGACTCGCCACCGTAACTGTCAATCACAACGACTACGAGTCTGGAGGCTCCATCATTCACTCCCTTAACCTCCACATGCAGGAGTTTGTCAAACAGTTAGGTGAGTCAATGCACTCAAGTCTTTTTTACGGTTATTTAAAACGTCAAACAGCTGTCGCCAGTGGAAGCTTTTGAAATTGTAATTCCACATGTGCTTTGTCCTGTTTGCCCTTCCAGGCCTGAGGCATCGCCGTAACGTGCCAGGAAAGACAGCAGTTTTTAACGGAGAGGATGTGATTTTGGAGGAGACGGATTGGTACCTGTTAGACCTGTTCCGTCTGTGGTGGCGCTACGGGATCAGCTTCATACGCCTGCAGATGTGGGTGGAGGAGATTATGGAGAAATTTATGAGGTAACTGGAGGCCAGGCATTCCTTGAAGGAGTGAATATTGCTTGCTGTTGCTTATGCAGAAGATTTAAACTAAAATCATCTTCAGCTAAGTTCAGTAACTGTAGGCCTGTCGCAGTAAACAATAAATTAAGTAATCGCATGATAAATGAAGATTATCAACCTCATTTTCATTTATTAGCTTTATCGTTTCTTCATGTCTCTTTCTACTGAAGACACTGGATGATAAAAGGCTCAACTCCAGTGCGATTCACTGACCCCTCCCTTTCTCTTTTCTCTTTAAAATTTGTTTTAACAATCCAAAATTACGTTTTTGGATCGTTAAACGCAGCTAAGCTGAGAAGCTAAGCTACGAGCTAAGCTAACAGGCTGGCCTCTGGAAAAAAACCTCCGTTTTGTTGAAGCTCCAAAATTCACAGTTGAAACCCGTGCCTTAGTTTTTCTCTGCAAAAAGAAGCTGAGAACTTGTTTACTGACTTTTTTTATTTTTATTAAAAGCTTTGTGTGAAAAATGCTATGCTAAAGAGCTCAAACCACACCGAGCGTCCGCCATGTCACCGTGTCAGCCGATGTCACATCAAGGGGCCTCCCTCCCATTTTTCTTAAAGAGACACGCTGCTCGCTCCTTCACTATCCATCCTTCAGTTCAAACAGTCTTGTACTGCCATCTGGTGGTCGATGAAAAGTACCACACTAAACACATTAACCAACATTTCTTCTTAAATTTGCCAATTACTAGTTATTGTCAAACTTCAAACAATTTTATTGTTTTATCGCAATAATTTCTGAGACGATTAATCGCCCAGCAAACTTTGTTATCGTGACAGACCTAAGTAACTGTAAAACTGGCAGCATAGCCAGTTTCCTGTTTGCTAAGGTTGCTTAGTTGTGGCAGCCATCTTGAAAGTGGAAGTGGCTGAATGCAAAAGTTAGTTAGTTCAGAGTAAATTTAAAGTCTATCCATTGGTTCATGAGATATTTTGCCAACAGGAACTTAAACTGGGTCCTTGTGAATCCGATTAAGTTCTAGAAACTGGTGTTGATGTTTAGCCCTTTTGTTTGTTTGTTTGTCCTCTTTCTTGCTGCAGAATTGGAACTTGTATTCTTAGTTTTATCAGTTTTAAAGTTGTGCTTCTCATGCGTATTTTTCAAACACCTAAATGCGTTTTAATTTAGGCTACTTAAAACTAAAAACATCATGAAGGATGTTTAAGTAGGTTTAAATTAGACTTTGCTGAGTTTGAATGCATTTGTAGTTTTGTTCCAGCAAAGCCAATTATAAATTAGGTGCAGTTCATATTAAAAATATTTATAATATAATATATTTTCACGACAATAGCTTCAGTTGTTGCACTAGTTGTTTATTTGTTTTTATCATGTACTTTCAGCCTCTGCAGATATTATCACAACAAAACTTTGACTCAGCTTGTGACCGTTCGAGCATGAGCTCTTCATAAACGTAGCGAATCATCTGCACGAAATTCTTAACCAATTAAAAGAGAGCTGCCGCTGTAATGAAATTCACATTGTCTTTATTCTCTGAGAAAATGCAGAAATGATAGAAAGCTCATCTCAGATATCAGCTGAGACAAAAGACCCCTGGAGTCTCATCAATCGTTGAAAACCGTTTGCTTTAATTTTAGTTTTCATGGCTCAGTTTATGTTTTGAAACATTCAACTGCCTCAGAATTTCACTTGTGCATCACTTCTTCCACCAGCCTTGATTTCCTCCCTCAGGAAGTGCTTTATCTCTGCGTCGGTTCTTTCTCTCTTGCTTCAATCTGAACACACTGCGCCTGTTTCTGTTTCTCAGCTTCAGAGATGACTGATGAAAATAAAGTGTTCTAAATCTGTCTGCTTATACTTTGTGTTTACGCTGTAGGATCTATAAGTATCAAGCCCACGGCTACGCATTCAGCTCCGTGGAGGAGCTGCTGAACTCTCTGGGAGGCAGTGGCTTCATCAACATGACCAGGAGGCCGCTGTCCGATTCGTTGCTGGAGCTGGGGGTGTCGCAGCGCTTCATTGACGAAGTCATCGCGCCCATTATGAGGGTCAACTATGGGCAGAATGTCAGCATCCCCGCTTTTGTAGGTCAGCTGAATGTGAGGAGATGCAGGGGTGTTAGGGAAGTGGCAGGATGAAGGTGGTGAATTTAGCTGCATGAAGATTCACATCCCTGCTGATGTAGGTCAGCAAAGAGAAGAGAGGAGTGAGGGAAAGGAAAGAGAAGGAAGGTGAAAGGAGGAGGGCCTGTGGGATCCAGAGAACAGGAAAGTGTGTGGGCAGCTGATAATTGGTTTATAGCACTTGGCTGTGTTCCTTAATTGTGTGTTTGTGTGTGTTTGATTCAAGGTGCTGTTTCTTTAGCTGGTGCCCAGAACAACCTGTGGGCAGTGGAAGGAGGCAACAAGCTCATGTGTTCTGGTCTACTGAGGATGGCCAACGCTAACCTGCTGAAGGCACGGGTCCAGTCCATCTCCCCCATCCACTCAGGTTCTCCAACTCAGTGTTTTCCAACTGGAATGATATTTAGCTACTAATCTGGTTTAATTTGGCTTTGAATTTTCTTTTCAGCCAAAGAAATCAAGATCAGAAATGACTGATAGAAATCAAGCAGAGGAGAAAAAGCCCCAGCTTTCAGAATTGCAGCATTTGATTTTAACTATCGTCATATTTACTGTAATATAAAAACTCCTCGGATCGACATTGTCAAAATATATGCGGGTCAAACACCCACACCTGCCTTCACCCTCATTTGCCTCACTCTGGGCCCTTGAGCCAGGCCCTTAATCCCCACCATCTGCTCCCCCGGGTGCCCTAGATAGCCTCTCTCTGCTCCACACAGAGGGCTGTGGTAGCTCGGTGGTCTGTGGTTGTGTCAGGAAAGACATCCGGCTTAAAAACAATTGCCAAGTTTTTGTGCTAATTATTTCGCTATGGTGACCCCTGAGGAAGGGAGCAGCCGAAAGAAGAAAAAATAAATAAATAAAAATTGGAGGGGAGTTCAGTTTTGTAATAAAATACTGTTTGCCGCTGTTTTGTTGTAGTCTTGATGATGATGATGACGACATCCAACTTCATCCTCTCAACTCAAACAGTCCTGAAATGATTTCTGTCACTTCTCTCCCCAATCAAAGGTGTAGCTCAGCTGTGTCTCCTTCACACTTCATTGTTCAATCACCAGGACGCATGCTGCAAATGTCTCCAAATAATCAAATAAGCATTAATTGAAAAATCTGAAACATTTAATTTAGTACTGAAATATTTTTGTTTTTGTCCCCCAGGCGAGGCGCTGCAGTACCAGCTGAACTTCACCACAGCAGCAGGAGCAGGATCAGAGCTGTACGACATCGTAGTGTTGGCAACTCCGCTCCAGGACGGTCTTGGTTCTGGACTCGAGTTTCTAAATTTCACGCCTCCCTTCGATCTGATGCCCGGCAGCTACCACAGCACCGTAGCAACGATCGTCCATGGTTACCTCAACACCTCTTTCTTTGGTTTCGCCGACCCCCGCCTGTTTCCGTTCGCCAGTGTCCTGACGACCGAGACGCCCACTCTGTTCTTCAACAGCGTGGCCAGCGCTTGTCCTGTCAACATCTCTGCAGGGTTCCGGCGCAAGCAGCCACAAGAGGCTGGAGTCTACAAGGTGTTTTCATCCCAGCCGCTGGACAAGTCTGAGCTGAAAACACTCTTCAGGTCAGTCAAGTAATAATGGTATCAGCAACGTGCTGTAACTATTATTTTAGTGTTGCTTCAATGAGGTTTTCACACAACATTTTAGAAATTGTACTTGTTACCTATTGTTTTTTATTTTATTTATTCATTTTAAACCTTTATTTTACCAGGAAGAAATCCATTGAGATTATTAATCTCTTTTACAAGGATGTCCTGGGCAATATGCAAATATAGCAATTTCCATCATGATCGTAAAAATTATTAAATGCTCAAATCTAAGTGCATTTTGTCATTTTGAATTTGAAAGTGAAGTTTTGTTTTTTATTTTTAATCAAATAAAGTTAGTTAACAAAGTCCTTTAAAATGAGCTCAATGGGTATAAGGCCTGTAAAGTGATCCATGGCGTTAGTTGAAACCTAAGATCACAAATCCTGATGCATGCTCAATAATCCAGGTCCAAGATCACATATTTATTTGCTTTGTTTTATTTGCTTTTGACGACATTTTGAATAGAAAATACTACATTATGGAATGAGAATTATCCTTTTAAGAGCAAATGTATTCATAAGTAAACCTCAGCAATTCTGCAGCTGATACTTATGTTGTTCATTTGTCGTAAGCAGGTTGATGTAGTGAGATAGGTCGGTTAGCTTCGTTAGCTTCGGAGCTCCACTACATGTTATATCTGGACTAGTTCAAGTACCTGATATTATACTTAATTTAAACGGGTTCTCTCTTTTTCGAGCTACTTGACAGATATGTGACAGAGATCAGTGACGTGAGACGTTAATTTTCTTTGACCCATCAAAATGAATGCGGTCATTTATTAACAGAATCAAAGTTTAACATCAAACATTGTACACGTGATTATTCTGATTGAAGCAATAACACAGCTTAATTACAACAGACATTTATGAAAATATCTGGATGATTTACTGGCAAGATAGAAGAGTTTTAAAGATGGGAAATGAAGTTTAAATGGAGAGGGAAAGATGGATGAGGGAATATGTGTCTGTATAAGAACGGCACTCTCCATTCGATCCCAGCTTCACCTCGGTACACTTAGGTAGTGGAAATCGACTCTTTACCTGTAAAAGATGTCTCCACTGGTACGGAGTTCCATTTAACGCCACCTTTCCAGCGTCTCCGTAGGAACAGCTGTGAATCGTCCGAAGTAGTGACAGTACTTCGTTCAACACACGTTCACCTCCCGGGTGGGCTCACATGAGTTGTGAGTCCGTCAGAGGTTTCACTCAGATGTGGAAGATTCCATAATTCCCACGAGACTCGGAAGAACTTCGGATCATGTCTGGAACCTCCTGTTCTCTCCAGCAACTTTTCTGTTCGGTTCTGCCCTCCGAACTGAACTGCTCTCCCACCGCACTGGTTGGAACTAGGAAGTGTCTACATTTAAAGAGTTCTGTTTCCGGTTCATTTGGGAAGTCCTGATTGGCTGAAAGAGCTAATCAGGGGTGTGTTTTTTGTGACGTAAGAGGTCACTAGAAGTCAGAAAAACAGAAAAATGTTTTGGAACAGACAGAAAATGTTTTTGAGACAGACAAGAGAAATGTTTAGGCGAGTTGGGAGGAAACAGGTGCCAGCTTCTCTATTTACGTCTGAGAGGATTTAAAAACATGACAGTTCGTTCCAACAAACTTGTTTGCGTTTGTCTCCGACTTTTGACCGACTTACAACCTGCTCATTTCAGACAGAAGATCAAGAAAATGAATAATTACTCTGTAACAGACATTAACTAGATTTCTACTTTGAATGAGGATTAAAAATCATTAATACT